CTTATTAGAAGATGAAACAACGTCGCTCTTACTCTAAGATATTTTAATTTCTAAACATTGGTAATAGTCAGACACGGATTAATAACTGCAATGAAAATAAAAACATTTTTTCGCTGCCCCCTTCCTTGTTGTTGGTCGGTCGTTGGCCTCTTGCTCCAAACAGCTAGTAGCCTACAACTTAATGCAGATCTGCATCGATAATGACCCAAAAATATTTTACTCTTAACTAACAGCCATTTAAAATGAAAGTGAAAATGTTTTTATCATTGAGTTTTTAACTACTAGATATACGTACAGGGCGGGGTATTCGACTAAACAACAATATTTTTATGTAGTAAGTAGATACTAAGAAAAAAAAATGTTTTTACTGATCGGCTGCTGTAAGCCGCAGCGACATTAGAAAAAAATATTACAGACAAACCGGGAAAATTCAAGGTCAGAAATGATTAGACGCCTATGGAAAAACCCATGGTAATCCCTCGCGCGCCGCTCCATTTTTCTTATTAAAAGTTTCCAAAATAGCTTCTTATGTACGAATATCATTGGGTTTTTTTTTTAATAGTCTTCAAAGGATAATGAAATAATAAGATTGTATATAAAATATTAAAGTAGTTTAGTAATTATTTTTTTTTTTACTAAACCAAAAATTTAAAAAATAAAGGTAACTTTGGAATAAATTTTTGGGTATAATGATTTGGCCCCCCCCCCCCCCCCTTAGGCCGCCTGCGTGCAATGCACACATTGCACAATAGGTAGCGGCAGCCCCGAGTCTATATATATATATATATATATAATGTCCTATCTAGCCTTATTAATGAAGTGTCTATAGTATTTCCCCCATTGTGTACACGTCCTACTGTATAATAACAAAGCTTGTCTTCCAGTCAGAAGTTTAGGAGGAGCGTGCCAGTATTTCATGTGGTTATAATACGCAGTCCTAGCTGTGATTGTGATGATGTGTAATCATAGACATATCTATGTGTGTGACTGTGTGATCTAATTGCCACATCCCGCACATAGAAAAGGCTAAAATTAATGTTTCTTTAAATTACATTATGCAACCCATTCTTTTATTATTATTTTTTTTTTAGATTCCATTATTCTTTGATCAACATATTTTTGTTTATATTATAAAAAATAACAAGATGGAGACTCATCAAAGGGAAACAAAATTCACTGTAATGCTTCTTAATGGTGTCCACTGTGGAATTTCTGATGGTGTGATATAACATACCTGACACTGCATGTCGGAATGTTCAAGGTTACGAACATGTCTTCGAGGTCGAATCATGTAGGCTACTGGTCTCCACCACTTTTATCTATCACATTGTAAATATTTAGTTACCGGCAACTTAATTTCTATTAAATATAATCTATTATATATCCAAGATATAAGGTTTTCATACATTGATAATATTGCAATCATTATTACTAGTCTATTATTAATAATAATAATATTTGGATACTACCAAATTAAATCACATTTTTTATAGTTAATTATTCACTGTTAAAACCATCCATCCCAGTGGCTCTGGCCCGCGCTTCAACTCTGAGATTTTCGTTATAAAACATATGTCGGTGTGTCTCGGGGTCGTCGGTTGGCTGTAAATAGTAAAAGAAAGCTTGGCCTACTTATTTAATTGTTAGGCGTGATAAAATACAGAAATTGAAAAAAAAAACGGTTTGTAAAATATTATGATATTCATAAGCAAAAAAAAAAAATAATTCCGTCACAGGACCGTTAACAGTCATTGTTGTTTATGCCAAGCTGTGTCAACAATGACTTGTCATAGACACGTGATGTCCTTATAAACACATATTTAACAGTTATGAGAGGTGAGTTGACGCGTTGAGTAATCTTGGACATTTCCGATTCCCGTTTTTTCTTTCTCATAACTTTTGTGACCCTTCTTAATTATTGTATCATTGTATAGCTGCACATGTCTGGTGTTTCTGCCCTCTCTCTCTCTCTCTCTCTCTCTCTGTAGCATCATCATCCGAGCAATATTTTTCTTCTCCCTAATTTGTCTGTATTCATCATCATACCATCCGATTCCCTCGTTTAAATCCAACCACCTCTTCTGCTCATTTATGTTATTATTTTCATTGTCCTTTTCCAATGTTGTTCGTTGCGTTTAGGGTGCAATTCCTTAAGTTTGTGCCATACGGAGATCCTTTGTAAGTTTTTACTTTAATATGGTTGTGCTCTTTTTCTTTGGTAAGTGTGCATGGTACTTATAATATTCTTTGTCTAAGTTTTGTTTTTACTAATAGTTTTTCTGCGTGAGCATCGTTGCTCCTCTAAAACATAATATATGAGATTCATGTCTCTTATCGATGAGTAAATGATCTATTTGATTTCGGGCGTTTCTATCGATCAGGTGAGACCCAGGTTGCTTTGTGAGTATTCTTATGTTGGAATTTAGTGCTGCTGGTAGACATTTCTTTTCCTGTCTCGAAATCCAATAATCTAATACCGATATATACCATTATTGTTAGTCTCTTCAAGTAAGCTTTTTTTTTTTTTTGCCAATGGTTGGTCTGAATTCATTGGAATCTCCTAGGACTATTTTGATGTCACGCATTGGTGCCTCATCATAAATTCTTTCCAGTCCATCATAGAAGACTTCTTTAGTGTTATCGTCTGCATGAGCATGAAAGTTGTGAGCATTTACAGGTTTAAATCCAATAACATTACCAACCGTTTCCTTTGAAGAGAATGAGGAGAGTCTTTCCATCTGATTTCCTGCAGTGCCACAAGAGATATTCGATCTTTCTTTAACACTTCAATAAGTTGGGCTAGCGCATCTGCTCTAAATAGGCATAGCACGTTCCGTGTCGCAAAACAAAAATCATGTCCTTTACCATGCTTAGGTCGTTTTCCACTGAGATCTGCCCGGTAGGCCTATTCTTTATGTGGAAAGCTTTCGTAACAGCGGGCGTGTGTGAATACCAAATATCCTCCTGACATCTTTTTCTTGTGGTATATAGGCTTACTTCTTTAAAGATTCTGTACTCGGCTTCAGCATTGAGCATGCTTTTGACAAAACCAGTCTTCCCGACTAGTAGTTTGGAGTCTCTTTGATGTTTTCAGTTTTATTGTGCAGTCTCAAATTGACAATACTTGGGGGACGTTTATAGGCCTAAATAGACCCAGAACTCAATGTAGGGGGAAAAAGAAAAGCACGTATAGCTACTAATAGTCCGCCTGCTTCAGTTCTTGTACCAAAACTTTCACTAATACAAGTCAGTGTATCCAGAGTCTCAAAAATGTGTGTAACTATCCCTCACAATCTTGAAAGCTCCAACAAGTTTCAACTAAGTTCAAGGCAATATTCGGTTGTTTTGACGAGGAAGTCCCACTAATCTATGTGTAAGTTGAGAATAAACAAAATGTAAAAAAAAATAATAATTTGTGGAATCAACCTAAGCTTCAACAGCACGAATAAACCTACCTGTAAAATTCAGGGTATTGTTTCAACACCGAATTGTCATCGACCTTTCATAAGCGAAGAAAAGAAAAACCCAAAAGAAAAATCTTACTCTGGAATAAATGTAACCTAACACAACTACACCAAGCTGCATTAAACTTTCAACAAACATTCTTATTAGAAAAAGACATTAACCAACCAGTCGTGACCTCTGGAATTTAATTAAAAACTATCTTAAAAGCATTATAGAAAATTATATACCAACTAAATACATCAAACAAAATAAATAAATGCTGGTTTAATAATAGACTAAAGAAGCTTTGTAAACAGAAGGAAAACCTATATAGAAAATTTAAAGAAACTAAGGCAGAAAGAGTTTACAAAAGTATATAAAAATTTAAACACTTAACCCAAAAAGTAAGCAGACAGCTGCTGAGTGAATACATAAACAATGTAATATCTAAAGATAACAACAAAAACCTATGGTCATACATTAAGTCTAAGAAAATGGAAACAACAGGCATAGCGCCATTAAAAGATGAACATAACACAATACATAATGATAATGAAACTAAAGCAAACATCCTAAACAAATACTTTGCATCAGCATTCTCAGCCCCAGGAGACAAAGACATATTACTGAATTTGAACCAAGTAGACAACATAGAAGTATAGTAGTACAAGAAAGAGAAATTCAAAAACTATTAGCCAACACAAAACCAAATAAAGCGTCTGGACCTGATGGTATTCCAGCTAGATTACTCAAAGAACTTAGCAATGAGCTAGCCCCAGTGTTCAAAATACTTTTTCCGGCTTCGCTTAACCAGGGCAGAGTACCAAAGGACTGGAAAGAAGCTAATGTCACCCCCCTATTTAAAAAAGGAGAAAAATCTGACCCAGGAAACTACAGACCAGTATCACTTACCAGCATTACATGTAAATTTCTAGAACACATAATATGTAGCAACATCATAAACCACTTAGACAAACATAATGTTCTCACCCCATACCAACATGGCTTTAGGAAATATAGATCATGTGAAACACAACTAATAGGACTAATTGATGATTTTTCTAAATGTTTAGATAATAGTGAACAAATAGATGCTATCTTACTAGATTTTTCTAAGGCTTTTGACAAAGTTCACCACCATAGTTTGCTTAAAAAATTAAAATATTTTGGCATTAATGGACCACTGCATCATTGGATTAAAGATTTTCTGATAGGGAGAGAACAAACTGTAATAATAAATGGCTCTAAATCAACACCGATAACAGTAAACTCAGGTGTACCTCAAGGAACAGTCTTGGGTCCACTACTATTTTTAATTTACATAAATGATTTACCAAATTGCATTACTTCAGGAACAAAAGTCAGATTATTTGCAGACGATTGCATAATATATAGAACATAAAAACAACACAAGACACAGATATTTTACAAAGAGAATTAGATGAATTACAGAAATCGGAATCAAATTGGAGCATGTCTTTCCACCCAGAAAAATGTCAGTTGTTAAGAGTAACAAAAAAACTAAAACAAATTAATTCCACTTATCTTATTCATGGCAACCAGCAACACAGACTAAAAACGCAAAATACCTACGTGTTATAATAAATGAAAAACTGTCATGGAATCCACATATTGATGAAACTATAAAAAAATCAAACAAAGCATTAGGATTTATTAAAAGAAATTTCTATAAATCAAATAAGAAATAAAATTAAAATGTTATTTAACCTTGGTTAGGCTAATAATAGAATATGCATCCTCCGTTTGGGACCCCTCAACTCAAGAAAACATTAAGAAACTGGAACAGACACAAAATAGAGCATTGAGATTCATAACAAATGAATATTCACATTTGACTAGAGTAACACCTTTAGTAAAATCACTAAATTTAGAAAGCCTTCAGGACAGAAGACTCAAAAATAAAGTAGCAATTATGCATAAAACACTGAACCATAATCTTCAAATACAAAAACAAAATTTAATAAAATACTCTGAAAGACACAAAGATACATGCATACATTTCGTCCCATATGCTAGGACAAATTTGTACAAATACTCCTTCTTCCCTAGTGCTATTAGAGCATGGAATGGGTTCCCTGAGCTAGTCAGGAAAACCAGTGACTTGGCAGAATTTAAGTCATTGGTTAATATGCATGACTAAATGCATGACGTGTAGGACGTAATCATCTTTTTTTTTGAAGTAACGTCTGTATTATATAAGATAAGATATTATAGCCATGTTCCACGAGTATCACCGCGATTCCAGTTGCATGCTTATTTTGAAAGTCAATCAAGTCTATGAAGAATTCTCCTTTTTAAAATGTATACCCCATTATTATCCATGACAACGCAACGTAAAGTTAAATTTGATCCAAAGTTTATAAGCCTATTTCATGCCCACATTTAATTGATTTGAATGACACGTTGATTTACACGCAGTGGTTACGTAGTTGTATCATTATATATTGATCACCTGCTGGTATGATAATACCCCACGAAAACATCACTAAATAGTATAATTATAAAAGCATCTTAAGTCACTCAAATACAGCTAGCATTTCTTGTAGAGATTTTTCCACAACATCTTAAACCCTTAAAGACAATTTGTACCAATTACAAAATACTTACAGCAGATCCGGATGAAGTTGTTCTTTCTTAATCTTTTAACTAAATAAGTTACCATCTTTCGGCGTTTTGTTCTTGGTCCGTATTACTTGTTTAATGCTTAACCCTTCAAGTGCTGAGCTGTTTTACAATGAGTGTATACAAAATGGAATTACAATTCTGATGTTTAGAGGATAAACTACCACACGCGTTGTAAGGGTTAACAAACTCCGTGTTAGAGGCACATGGGTAGTGCTTTTACTTGGCATCGTCTTGCCTTCTTCTCAGAAACTGACGTCAGCACGTTTCCTGTCGACTCTTGGAGTGTTGCTGTTCGTATGGTTCTCGCTGATTTCTTTTAATCAATTCCAGCATGTAATATTCCTTGGCTTGGGATGTCGTGCACAAAACATCAAAGTTCATTTGGGGCTTACAGAATTAGGGTTTATAAAAGAGGGCAACAAACAAATCACCAACCACAGTGGAGCACTAGGCTAGAAATGTTGATGACAGTTTTCTGTTGAACACACTGGCGGATCCAGGGGCCCCTAGTATGTTGGCCGATTGGTGGGGTCGGGAGGGAGCGATGGTTTCGATCCCGCCCCCCCCCCCATACACTTTCGAGTGGGGGGGGCGGTCCAATTTTTTTGTAGAAATCACAACTTGCTAATAGAATCAATTTAATATCTATGTCATCGAAACTTGTTATTGATTTTTTTTACCGATCTTTATATTATGTCGTTCCCTGTTTGCCGATTGGTGTGTGGTGTGGGGGGGGGGGGGCGAATACCTCTACAGCCCTTCCCACCTAAACCCTTTGAGTGGGGGGGGGGGGGGGCGGTCCGTTTTTATGGAGAAATCATAGTTTGTGAACAAAATTAGTTGAATTAATATATTCATTTTATATTATGTCGCTCCCTTTCTGGTATTTGGCCGATTCGGTGGGGTGAGGGGGGTCGATTGCATGTACTGCCGTCCCCACTATAGCCCCCTGAGTGCTGGGGGGGGGGTCCTATTTTTGTGGAGAATCATAGTTTGTGAACAAAGTTAGTTGAATTAATATATACATTTTATATTATGTCGCTCCCTTTTTGGTATTTGGCCGATTCGGTGGGGTGAGGGGGGTCGATTGCATGTACTGCCCTCCCCATTCTAGCCCTCTGAGTGCTGGGGGGGGGGGTCCTATTTTTGTGGAGAATCATAGTTTGTGAACAAAGTTAGTTGAATTAATATATACATTTTATATTATGTCGCTCCCTTTCTGGTATTTGGCCGATTCGGTGGGGTGAGGGGGGTCGATTGCATGTACTGCCCTCCCCATTCTAGCCCTCTGAGTGCTGGGGGGGAGGGTCCTATTTTTGTGGAGAATCATAGTTTGTGAACAAAGTTAGTTGAATTAATATATACATTTTATATTATGTCGCTCCCTTTCTGGTATTTGGCCGATTCGGTGGGGTGAGGGGGGTCGATTGCATGTACTGCCCTCCCCATTCTAGCCCTCTGAGTGCTGGGGGGGCGGTCCTATTTTTGTGGAGAATCATAGTTTGTGAACAAAATTAGTTGAATATCTATATAATATAAACTACGTATTGATATGTGACCCATTGTATATTATGTTGTATCACAATCTAATCTCAAATTGTATCATTAGTAAATTTAAATGAAAAAGGGTTGTACCAGGTGGGAGGGGCGATACATGCAATCGCATTTCCCCCATCGGACAAATCAATACTTTTTCTTTTTGTGTTATAGTTAAGAAATTACAAAATTTAAAAAATCCGTCACTAATATAATTTATATATGCTATAAATTAAATTCTTATATTAAGTTGCCCCACCCCTATTCTTTAATGCCAAATGCAATCTTTAGCAGAAATTATTAAAGGAGCGAGGATTAATCGTTTTCACTCTACCGCCCCTCCCATTTCCAGACAGAGTTTATTTAATTTCACATGAATTTATCATAATTTTTTAAAGTCAGACTTTGCATTGGAAAAGTTAGAATTCAAACGAAATTTTTCAGTATAAGAGCCATGATTGAGATGAGTTATAAACTCAAATAATAACTTCATAGTCGCCTTTTACCAACCTTTACTCAATCTGATATTTTTCTAGTTAAATAAACTGGGACTATAACTCACAATTTATACTGTAAAATTATTGAATACTATTTATTGAATTTTTTTTTTTCGGCGGCGATCCCCAAAACCAAAATCTAAATATGTGGAGTATCCTATCTTTTCAAGGAACAAATCGGTTTTATTTGCAATGTATTAAGGGCCTATAAATTCATATTAAAATAATTTTCAAGTACAACATTATTCATAAGGTCCTTTTTTAATAGTATGAATAATGAGCTTCGAATTCCATTGATGAATAATGAGCTGTAGATGTCAGGAGAATACGTTTCTGCAGTGAAAAAAAAGAAGAAAACACTTTTGGCGTCGGGGCTTCGCCCCGAACTCCATTAATAAATAATGAGCTGTAGAAGTCAGGAGAAGGCCCTTCTGCAATGAAGAATGCAAGAAAACGCTTTTGGCGTCGGGGCTCCATTGATGAATAAAGAGCTGTACTTGTCAGGAGAAGGCTTTGCCCCGAACCCCACAAGAGAACCTTATAGCGCTGCCCCAGTTGTTTTGTTTTTCGCCGAAGGTTGAGAAATGCTGCTTTTTTAAAATTCTCATATATATATATATATATATATATATATATATATATGTGTGTGTGTGTGTGTGTGTGTGTGTGTGTACTGTACGCACGTTTATGCATAGGGTTAGGGTTTACTGGGCGTTAGGGTTAGGGTTTGGAAAAAAAATCGCCCTCCCCCCCAACTCCAAAGTTCTGGATCCGCTAGTGGTTGCACATGTGGATAAAACCTAACACCTGCTTTAAAACGTATAACCCAAAATAGAAATATGCAAGAACCAAATGTGAAGCAATCGTTGCTAAAGGCTCGGTCTCTATATAATAAACAAAGTAAAGAAACCCATTTTTTGACAGCGTTCATTGATGATTTAAGAAAATAAAGTGAAATAGTTTACTTTGATGATACCATTCTCGTGTTCCACCCATATCAGGAACTATTAACTATATCTACATAAAGCATGTCAAACTCATTAGGGTGTATGGGCCACACAATAAACTAACTATGACTTGAAGCCCGAAGACATAGAAAACATAGCCTATTAATTTTATGTAAATTAGAAACAATACAATAGAATACAAAACTTAATGGAATACATGTCCCTTAAATTTGTAGTACTATTTTCCTCATAGAAAATAACTATGATTATGCAATTATTTTCGCTGTCCTGATGCTTGACTTTTATTTTTCTTGAATACAAGGTTATTAATGTCGGGTTGAAATTTGTCTGCCACTGACGCTTTCGTCACTGATGACAAATTTTGATCATATAATCTCGAATAGTGAAGTGTTTTTGTAGCCTACCTTTCATTATGGAAAAGAACTGCTCACTGAGATAATTGCTCGCAAAACATAACAGGAATTCTTGCTGCACTGAAAATGAGCAAATTTAAAATTAGCATCAGTCTCTCTTATTTTTGCTAGCGGCTTTGCATCAATACCATTTCTAACCCCAATCATGGTTGGTGCGCCATCCGCTGCTAGACTAGCTAGCAAGGGTAAATTGTACTGCAGTATCACCTGTAATTTCTCATTTCCATCCTTGCTTGTTGTGGTGTTATGCATAGTTCCTCGTCTATCTTTAAATTTCTGTCTCAGGCCTTTATGAATATAACCAACTGTGCTACCCCACGTTACATCAATTGCCTTATCGAGGGCCAATGAAAAGAATTCAAAATCAGCTATTTTATTTTTTAGTTGCTCACGCAAGCTCATTGGCTTTTGTCATTTATTCTATCTGCCACATTTCTTTGAATGCTTTCACATTTTCTGGACAAATTACTTCGGCAGCTTTAGCGACACACTCCTTAATAATATCACCTTCACTAAATGATTTGCTATGGCTTGCAATTAAGTTTGACAAAATGTAGCTGGCTTTCACTGAAGACTCACTCTCGTTTTTCAGTTTAACAAATAGGGCTTACTGTTTGTTGCCTATTTTTCAATTCAAGTAGCTTGCCATCCCTCATTTTCCAGGTGTAGGCTAAGCATCATACACTTTTTTTTGTGATTAGCGTAATTGCATATTAGGCAGTGACTCTCATTTGATACCAATGTGCAAAAAATAATTTAACTCCCATCTTTCTTGAAACGATCTATTTTTGTCCTTAGTTTTTCTTTTAGTTACTAATTTTTTAATCATTCTTGGAAATTAAATTAAGTGTCACTTAACTAGTGTGAATTGTCTTGTGACCGCAGACAGTTATGAATATAGGAGGCGTAGTACTAGTCAATGAAAGAGGCCTAAAATAGAATGGCTCACTGATAATTTTTCTGTAAGTCTAACATATTGCTCAAAACAAAAAAAGGCAAAAAAATAAAAAGGGAGGAATGGAGAAAGACGGTCGACAAATCATGCCTAGTGCCCCAACGGTCCAACAGACTAAGGGATAGGTAAAAGGTAAAGGTAAAAACATATTGCTTATTTATGGTGATCAATAACAATAATAATTTAAATTTAACAAATCAACACTAAACTTAGATAATTTGAAGTTACCAAATCTAATTCAATTTAAAATAAATTTTCGAAAAATTATTTGTTTCCAAATAACTGATCATTAAAGAATACTTAATAATAAGTTCAACGAAGTTGATTGTTACGTTTAATTTTTTTTTTCAGTAAATATTTTACCTGAAAATGAGTGTTGACTGTTAAACACTTAATAATTTAACATTATTTTGTTAATTCTTTAGGTGGCCAAGCGGGCCGCATGCAAAGGTTTGACATGCCTGATCTACACATTTCAATGTAGATTATGTGATCCGTGGCTGACCCAGGAACACAGACCTATATTTGTGCCCAGGAATTCGGAAGTTTAAGCTCTTCATAAAAATAGTCTCGGAAATACTAAATGGCGTGTAGCAACCAAGAAATGGCAAACCCTACATACACGATAAACAGATTTTATATCTAATTAGATTTAATATAGACTCTAGATCCAGCAAATTGAAAAAACAAAGAATTGCACAATACAATGTCAGACCAGACAGAAACATCGAGTCTAAAAGCGGCAATTAGCAAGTTGAATCAACTTGGCAAGTTCAACTCAACTGTTTCAACCAAGTTTTATTTTAAATTTAATGAATTATTATTAATGATAAAATTATAGATCTACATAAGACATAATGATAAATCATTTACTGAATTTTAGATTTTACTAGATCTAGTTTCTCCGCTTATTCAAAAGTATTCATTATTTTTTTACTGAAATATCCATAGCCATAGCATAGGCCATGGCCATAGTTTTTAAAGAAGGAAAATGAGATTACATTTAGTATTTACATTAAGTCTATATATAGGCCTACAATATAGTCTATATTTCTTTGTTCTAAAATATTGCATGCTTTAGATATAAATATAAGACTATATATATGAGTATAATTATTAATAATAAGCTGGTTATTATTAAAGCTTTAAAAATTATAGGGGCTTCCACAAAAATCCTGCTTTTATCAAAGTACCTACCTTGGGCTTCCACATGGCCTACTTAAATTCAACCCGGCCTCATGCAGATCTATTTCAAAATTGATAAATTAAATTCATCAGAATCAGTTTATGTTTCTGCTGATCTAATATAAAATTAATTATAGGCCTACTCATATATTATGATCATAGATTCGATCTATTACTATGACAAATCAGTAAATTGAAATTAATAACCAAAATAACTGAAATTAATCAGTTATTAATTATACAGTATTCACACATTTTTACCTTGACTAATATTATTTTATTTTTGAGCTTATTTCCTTTAGTATATAATATGTCATAATGCTTTTTTTTTTTAATGATAAAAAATTAAACTTAGTTTATAGTTTAAATTTTTAAAAAATTAAAATGTAAAATTGTAATAATAATAGAAAAATAAGTTTATAAGCATTGACATTTTGTCTCTGAAATTAGACAGAATAAAAAAAAATGTAGATTGATTTCATTAGGACCTGCAAATATAAGTACTCAACTAAAAAACGTATGCCACACTATTGTAGGCCTAATTAAAATAGATAATATTAAAAATGTTAACTTGTTGTCTGGAAATATACAATATATATTATAAATATGAACAAAACTATATGAATATTTGTTTTTGTTTTCTTTAGGTTTGCATATGTCCATGACTGGCTACTTATTTGATGAAAATGATGTAAACAGTCTCCATGAACTAATAAAGGCCATAAATGACTTGGTTAGCTATTTACTTTAGAGTTACAGACCTTCCTTCTATATAAATAATTCTATCCTCCAAGATCGATCAATGTGTTAATACTAAGCAATTATTTATCTTCCTTGCTGATTCATGTCACCTACTTCATTTTTTAATGACACTTGGAGAGAAGTAGTACCTGTATATGTGTTGATATATAATACGAGGAGTGTTTTTTAAGCATAAAGTATAAATAAAAATATTTGAAAATAATGAAAGATTGTAGGTTAGGATAGTCCAGATTTATATTTATATATATATATATATATTTTTATACTGGGGTGTTTCAAGGCCTACTTTTGGGGGAAGGTCAGGGTTCGAAACTGGTGTTATGGAGTGTGTGTGTGTTTTCAAGGTGATGATGAAGAAAAGGTGCATTAGATTTTGGTCATGGAGAATGATGAAATAACAGCAGGGTCTGTCATAATTTATGTTAAGAATGGCATATTAGATCAGAAATTTGAAAGAGTGATGTGTTTTTGTAGTGAGTTAATTTTTGTTTAAAATATCAATTCATATTATTATTACTAGATTTATATCTCAAGTTGACTTTGTCTACATTGTTTATAAAAGTTATATTAACTTTTGCTTAAAAAAGAAGCTTGTTCTAGTTGTTTCAAGCTCTACAATTAAAAATATTAATATGCTTAGATTGTACTAGCAATTTGGTGCTACAATCCAACAACCAACCAACAACACCCGGGACAATCGTGACCAGCGAATGACAGTCCAGAACGCATGCCACTAACCAGGTAGCCATCAAATAAACTACAGCACAGCTACAGTATAGATCATAGTATACACCTATCTACTAATGGTTAATTTTCAAAGAAAAAAATTTTAGTTTATAAAATTATTTATAACTTTTTGAATAGTATTGAATATTAATTTGGTCTGTGTTATACTTTTTTTTTTTTTGCTTATTTGTTTATATCTTCATTTCAGTGATAGATTTTGGCAGATTTTTATTCTTTACTTAAACACAACACACTATGTCATATTTAACTACATAAGAAATATCTACAAGAATAAAGATTTGAGTTGAAATGAATATTAAATAAACTTGTTATCCAAACTGTAGTAGGAGCTGAATGAACCAACACAGCCAACAAACAGCTTGCTTGTGTCTCCTTATTCTGTAGTATTTAAACTAATCTGTCCTAGATAATTTGAGATATGGATGAAATTTAACTAGCTAATTTTTTCCCCTTTATTAGCACCATCAGAATGTATCAGTTGCAATTAATTCTAGTAGATTCAAGGTTTGGTTACTACACAATGCTTTGTGTAAAAGTGACATAGATATACCATAATTAAAATCTTAGATATGGAAATTAGCTTCTATATTATTCCATTTTGTTTCTCCTGGTTAAACTGACTATAAGTATAATCTGTTACTATAAAAAAAAATTTTTAATGAACTCCAGCCTATTACTCTTGAAAAACATTTTTTTTCGATGCAAATTTTTTTGTTTTAAACTAGGAAACTGAGCGAAGAAACATGCATGAGCAGTTGGAGACAGAAACTATCAAATCTAGTTTGCTGAGGTTTGACTTAAAGAATTTGCCTGGAAAAATCTGTGAGGAGATCATGAGTAAGTTTTTTTGTTTAATCAATTATTTATTTGGTTTTTCTTTATTATTTCAAAGCTTGAAACTTTGAGAGCTTTTAATATTTTCTTTCTCTTCTTTAATCAAACTCTGATTCCATCATCTCATTGATTGTGTCTGATAAAGGTGCAAGAACCACTTTAATCTTTAAAAGCAAACCCTTTTGAATCAAATTAAGTGTACAAATTATATGCATGTACAAATAAACCAATTCAACAATGAGGAAAGTAGTCATGTTTGCTAATAGAGGCTCATTTTACTATAATCACAATGGCCCTATATTGTTTGAAATATGTGCAAAAGCTACTTATGACCCTGTAACAGCATATTCTTTGTTTAAACAAATTAATTTTTAAATCAAGAATAACAAGTTTTTAAATTTATACAACTGGATAGTGGCATCTTTCACTTCAATAGTGTCTATATCATCTTTCAAATCTTTTAAGAAATGTGATAAGTGTCACAGGTTTCTTGTTGTTGTAGGTGTTAATTCATTGATAGTGCTGAGAAGTGTCAGATGTTACAAGAAGTTACTGTGATGTGCTTTGGATTCTATAGATTTATATCTCTAGATCTAGATCTAAATACTATCCTAGAGATTCAATAAGTGAAGATCCTTTTTAAATCAAATACATAACTTTAATTCAAAATTTGGAATCACTATATACACAGAAACAAAACGGTATCAGATAAATAACTTTGTTTCAAAGTTCAATAATAAGATATTCAAATTTACTACTAGATTTAATAAAGTACAAGACTGATCTCTACTAATTCTAAGTGCAAACTAAAATACGTCCTATCTCTACCAAATTTACATTCCGACTGAAGGTTCTTGATGGCGCCATTTCTTACCTCATTTTTGACACTTGGCTTAACCAATAAAATTATTTTCTTCAACCAATCAAAATCACTTCCTGTGAGGTGTCACGCTACTTGATTGAGAATGCCTTGGGTATTTCCGACACCTGCAGTCTGTTATCCCGTCCTTGGCATAGTATATTTTAAATTATTTAATATTTTAAATTAATATGTGACAATAAGTATGATCAAAGATACAAAAAATACTTATGATCTTCCAAAAGTGTTTCCTTTTGTTATTTAAACTATATAAACAAATTATATACAAGATTTTACAGAATGTTAATGTTATTCAAGAGTTGTATAGGACCTAATATTAACAGCATCACACCCTTACTGGGATATGGGCTGCCAGCAACAAATGCTCATAAGTCCTCTGTCCTGGCACTACCTTTCCATCCATTTTATGGTGTCACTTAAGTTCACATAATCATGGACTTCTTGGATGCCCTTTCTCTTTTCTTGCGAGTTCCACTTCAGTGCTTGATTTCCATCTTCCCTTTCTGATTTCTTCTTATGCAGAAATTTGGCTGGTTCTCTTCAGCAAGTTGATGCTGCTAATGGTGTCAGGCCAATCGGTGTGAAGAATTCTATGGAGGCAACACTACTTTGAAACTAAATTTGCAATTTTCTAATGGCAGTTTTACTTGTTCTGTTGGTGTTGGATCCTTATAGCAAAATGGATTTAATATTAGAAATAACAAAACACATTTAGGTCATCAAAGAATTTTCTTGAGCTGTATGAATGAGAATGTTGGTTTATTTTTCCTTCTACCAACCCATTTCCTTTATGATGCTACTCAGCTAATTGAAAGACTCAACTTTTTCTAATGGAAACTCATTAAAAGCTATAGATTCTGTGTTAGTGAAGTTAATCTTCATAATCTTTTTCTTATTCATGTTTTTTTTTTCCTTTCCAGAGGCAGTAAATAGTGCACGCCAGACTAATTCAGATTCCTTGGGCAATTTAAGAAAAAAACTGGATGATATATTCATGTACATTAAAGAGTATGAATCAAAAACAGAGGAACTTGAAAGGCACAATACTATACTTCAGTAAGCCTTTTTTTTTTTAATCTGTTTCTTTCAATGAAAAAATGAATTCTTGCTTTCATCTTGTTGTTATAAAGTGATGCATGCATCTGTTCTTCAATGCCATTAGTATTGTTTGCAGTTGTCAAATTATTATTTTTTTCTTTCAGGCTAGGAAAGAATTACTTCATCAACAGCATGAGAAGATAATTTCACAAATTATTGTTTGTTTCTTTCAGGCCAGAAATAGCATTACTTCATCAACAGCATGAGGAAATAATTTCACAAATTATTATTTGTTTCTTTCAGGCCAGAAAAAGAATTACTTCATCAACAGCATGAGGAGATAATTTCACAACTCAATCAGAAAATGGCAGACAAAGCGATGTAAGAAACTATCGCAATCATTTCTTTCCACCTTCAATGTGATTCAGATTCTCAGCCTATCCTTAATATTAACTAACTTTGTTTAGGGGAGAATTAGTGTACTGAGCTTCATAAAGTTTGACATAACAAGGTTTGACTGTGTATTTGTGTCTGAGAAAATGATTAGAATTGAAAAGAGACAATGCCAATATGTTTTAATAGTTACACACAGATCCAATTTATTGAAGGAAAAAAAAATTCACACGACCTCAACTTCCTACTAATTCCAATTCACTATGTTCAGTTTTGCCTAGCCAGTCAATAGATAATTTTACTATTAGAATTTAGATATACCCACAACTAAAAATATTTTTTTTTAAAATATATTTTTCAAATCATGCAGTATAAATCAAGAGGATGTCATTGTTGAAATATCAGATTCATCAAACATTTTAAATTCTGATATTTTGACAGGATGCAGATTGCATTGAATGAGACAAGAGATAAAGTGAGGCAAACTAATCAGGATGTAAGTCTAATTGTTACCTCCCCTTGTCTGTTAATGTCTTTGAAGAGAAAAACATTACACAACTATTAAAGCAGCACATTGACAGTAAACTGAACATACATTATTTTTTTCCTTATCAATGTCTAGATTGAGGACATTGAAGATGCTATTCTTCAACTGAAAGAAGATTTGATTCAAGAAAGAACTGATGCTAGACAGGAGAAAAAGCAGCTTAAACAATCAGTAGTAGGTTTGGACTTTGTTGGATGCACTTTCTAGTTTTGTAAACAAAGTGGCCTTTCTCATGTGTTAATAGTGATGCAGCAACTAGTTTTTTTCTGCCTTATTTCAGTTTCTTAAGAGAGCAATTTTAAAGAAGAAATATTATGATTTTTTAAAAAATTTTGCTATAATAGTGCATGACAAAGAAAAAAACAACACCCTTTAGCGCATTTTAAAACATTTTACCGTTACAGAGAAAAATACAAATCGCTGATAAGAAAAACAGACACAAGAACTAGCTTGTTCACTTCACATTAGAGGATGCAAATAATATTTTTCTGTACAGATTAAAATTTCTGATATTATCATTTTATATTTATGTTATTTAATTTTGTTTTGGAAAAGGAGGGGATCATTCTGTTTTAAAACTGTTTAGTCCCAAGAATTTTTGCTATACTTCTTCCTTTCACTGAGCATTAATTTAATGGGCCAAACAAAATTCTTTCCTCAGATGGAAACACAACAAAAAACCAAAGAACAAAAAGAACAAAATGTTGAGAAAAAAAAGTTTGTTTCACTTTTTTTTTGTAACTTTTATCTCAAGCAATTTTTGAGATTATATAAAGAATAATTAGAACTCATTAGGAAAAACTAATTCATCTGAAATGATAAAAAATATGTTTACTCACATTTATTACCAAATAGTTCAAAATCAAAGTAATATGTTTGTCTTAGCAGTATATGGCCATTCAATGATTCATCACAGCTCATTTAATTCATTAAAACAAAGTTAAGAGTTTTAAAGACTTTAAAACATTGCAGCTTTGCTATTATAAAATATAGAGTTAAATGAGATAAAGTTTAAACACCCAATTTAATGTGAGTTGTAATGAGATTGAGACACCCAATTAATCTGAGTTGAAATAAGATAAACTTTAAACACCCAATCAATCTGAGTTGAAATAAGATAAACTTTAAACACCCAATCAATCTGAGTTGAAATAAGATAAACTTTAAACACCCAATCAATCTGAGTTGAAATAAGATAAACTTTAAACACCCAATTAATATGAGTAGAAATGAGAATGAGTTCATTAAGCTTCAAAGAAATTCTTAGGTAATGGTCATTGTGCAGACCACAGTGCACCACTAGTATGAGAATTTGGTAAAAAACTTTGCAATTCCATGGACTTCTTGTCTTAAAAGAATTATTTTTACAAAACAATGCCTTGTTTAATATTCAGAAGTGAAAATTGGATATTGATTTACATTAGAAGTAAGTGTTGTTTTAAAATTCATACTTTTGGTTGGTTGCAGTTTTGTTCTCATACTCTTTACCATATGCAATAATGTTTATTTTGAAATTGATGATAATAATTTGTATAGCATGCTTAATTCACTCATCTACTCATTGCATTCATGAAGTATAGGCAGAAATGGTAGGGATTTAGAAGATTTTAAAAGTATGTCAGAGACTAATTTAAAAAGTTAACCGGCTTCTAAATCAGAAACAATTAATTATCTTTTATGTTTGTTTCCATTTTAAGACAACTAGATAATCTACAAGAGCTATTAATGGACAGTGAAGGCAAATTAGAAACTCTGAAGAAGGTTTGTTTTAAACTCATTTGTTAGTTGTTGTATTGAAACCTATATTCAGTGCTTTTAGATATAAACTCAACACCAATCATGAACCACTCATTGAAAATGTTCATAATCCCTAACTTCAGTGTTATTAACATGCCTAAATTGAACAGTAATATACTTTATGCTCTGTTATACAGTGCCATAAATTTTAAGATTATTCTTTAAATTAGTTGATTTTTGTTTTAAAAGGAGTTTTGAATAAATATTTCAAAATCACTCTTTTTAAAACAAGAGTTGTCAAATTAAAAAATAAAACAAATATAATGTGTTAACAACTAAATTTTTCCTGCAAATACCAACAGAGCATACGACGTTTTGAGACTTCTAAAAGTAAATTAGAAGCTGATGAGACAGCTTTAATGTCTCAGCTTGATAAACAGCTGAAAATGAATGAGCAAGAACGAAGAAGAGGGTATGATGGTTAACAGATCACTGACTTTCACATCATCACTCTGTTATTTTACTACTAAAAAACAAAACACAAAAGCAACTATTGTAGAGTCATTTTAAAATAAATTTGGCTTGTTCTGAAATATTCAACCAGTTAAAATTTTTTTTTATTAATAACATTACCAATTATGTAGACAAGAATTTTCTCATAGCTGTAGCACACAGTTCCCACTTGTTCAACGTTTAAATTATCTACTGTGCTATGTGATCTCTAGTTTGAGGCTAGTTTCTAGTATTAATGAGCTTTTTATGTAATATTTAAAGCAAGAACCTCCCAACATGACTCATTTGTTTTTATTATCCTAAGTGCTGAAATAATTAATGAAGGCCTTAAAGAAGAGCAAGAATTTGACACCAAGGAAAGGAGCTTATTAAAAAAGTTAAAAACAGTAAGTAGGTGACATTTCTTCTCATAAATATCTTACATTGTTACACTCACTTAAAATAAGGAGTATGTTTTTAAAATATATAAATTACTAGCATTACACTCTGGACAAACCCATTGATTTGTTCCCATGCTATATATTGTTTATTTTGGCCAGGACACCCCTTCCTTCCTATTAACTTGCAAAATATGGACACATTTTAACCATTCTCCTAACATACTTTAAACCCATGAATTATAGTGTTTTACATTGAATTGGAATGGTCTTATCTCTTTTTCTTTCTGTCTTTCTCTCTCTTCTGTCTCTGGAAACTCCTTTTTTTTTTCACCTTGCACATCATTATGTTCACTTTCTTAGACCTTTAGTTTCAGGCCTAAAGTAAAAGAATTGTATTTTCCAAAAGCCTCAATTGAATGCTTCTACCCCCATCCCCCACACTACATTTTGTTTTCTAAAAAAAAGGAAATATCAATTTGGTTTTATTAATTGTAATTGTTTTTTGACCCCTTTTGAATCCCCCTCCACCCCTCCCCACTACATTTATTTTATCCTGTACATAAATGAATGAATCAGTCAGTCTTTCAGTTAGTCAATGGTATTTTACACTTCTAATATAGGTTGTGATAATTTGTATTTCATTCCAGTTTAAAAATGACATAACTAAAGAAGTGGAGAAAAGTGAAACACTTCTACAAAGAAGAACGCAGCTTCAGAAAGGTATCTCGCTGTTTAGGAAAAAAAAACTACCATAACAAAATTATATTGAGAATGCCTGTTTTTATTGTCTGGCAGGATTAAGTCTTAAATCAATTTTTAAAAAGTTTTAGTAATAGATGTTTAAAAAAAAATTATTATAAAAATTATTTTTAATGACTATCTCTTAAATGGTGTCTCACTTCTATCTTGAGAGACAATAGATGCACAAAAGATTCATTAGATTTCTTAGGCCTCTTTTATTCAATAGATTTCTTTGGCCTCTTGGATGGTTGCCAGGTCATCTGATATGTTTTCTGGTCTGTATCACAATGGTCTCAAGTTCAAACCTTATCAGCTAGCATAACCTGCCATCTCTTAGAAGGTTTCAACAAGGATGTAATAATTGTCATTTCTGAAGGAATATCCAAAACATATTTAAAAAAAAAAGGTTTCTTTGGCCTCTAGTTACATACATACATACATAGATGAATTCTAAAGTGGCAGTATTTGTCACAACTCTTTCTTACAGCCCTTTATCACATCTCTTTGTTACAGCTCTTGTGATGTAACAGCAGATTTTCTGTTTCTTTTCCACATAAGTTCTTTTTATGTCTAGATTGGTAATGCAAGCACACACAATACACAATTCCCAAATCTGGTTAATCTCTTCCTATGTAAAATATGTGGATCTCAGATCACCTTTGCACAATTCTCTGTAGCTTAGTAGAAAGTATTAATTCTTACTGGTTTTTCTTTTTAGAATACATCAATTTGGCATGTAAAATGTCATGAGCAAGCATACAAAATCTTTATTGTTAGCTAGGCACACTCTCTGAGATCATGACATTTTCATAGATTAGTTTTTTCTTGTCTTTATAATAAATGAAAGTTTAAAATACATGTTCTCTTTACATAGATCTGTCAGAAAAGGAACACATTAAAGAAGAAGAAGATGCTTATGTTGCTACTTTGGACAGTCGGTATGTAAGTAGTAAATGTTATATCTACTTTATGAACTTTATATTATTTTGTCATTCAAAATATGACCTAACATTTGTTTCTGTAGAATAGACATTGAAGAGAAAATAAATTCTAAATCTAAATAACATAATATAAATAAATTATTTTTTTTTTTTAGACAGTTATTCCTCAAGTCTAGTAAATTAATGGATAAAAAAATAACTAACAAATTACATGATTTTTTCTTCTTCTACATAGTTGCATATATATCAAATCCAGAAGAAAAAAGAAGGATTTTTTTATCAATGGACTGATCTTCTTTGATAATTTTAATGTCTATATCTATCTACATAAACCTTCTTCATAGCTATTGATCAAGTTTTCTGCCTTTTTGATATTTTTAGTTTACAAATGGCTAAGAAGGAAGTTTCTGAAAAAGCAGAAGAAGCTGGACGCATGCAAGAGGAGAACAAGCAGATGTCAGAAGAACTAATAGATCTTGAAGAAACTCAGAAGTAAGTAATTCAACAAGAAAGGATGGAAATTTTATTTTCTTCCGGTTCTTTTTTCTTGGGGCTGGGATTAAAAATGTTTGTTTTGTTACCCTTAATGATTATATTTTTTAAAAATTATTTATACCAGAGTTGTAGTGATTCAGCTAACCAATCAAATAGAAGAATGTAAAGATGTGTTGTCAAGTGAAAGAAATCAGAGGTAAGATGATCAATTGAATGATCTTATATAGGTTAATAACATTCCTTTTCAATAACACTAAAGTTTACATGGATATATATCAAAAAAGAAATAGAGCTTAGTTGTTCACTATAATTTATTTAATAATATCTAAACATAAAAGATAAATATTTTAAATGAGCCTAATTGTTCATGTCCATTTTCTCTAAATTAAAGGAAAAACATTTTTGAAATCATTTTAAATTTCTCCAATGTATTCTTATGTTTTTGGAGAGATAGTTTTTAAATGTAAGAAGTTTGAGTCCACCCTGTAATAAACACATTAAAACAACAAGAGTCTCAATTAACACATTGATTTTATTAGTCTTCTATTCGTCTCTATTACTCCAGCATCTTGTGATGAATCTGACCCACTTTTACTCACAGTCCTGACTTAAACACTTTCTTTGCTGTTCACTCAACCATGTACAATGAAGGTCAACTGGTCATTTCGTACACAGGCACACACACTATTAGCCACTCAAAACACCTACACTTACTATCACACACCCTACTTTGGCTCATTAGATAATTGTATTGGTCCATATAAATAGAAATTCAGTTTGACTACAATTGTCCACCTCAGCATTACTATTATAACAATAACATTCATTGGGAAAAGATTGTGTTTGGTCAGATGATACAAATGCTCCTACTTCCCTAGTGCTATTAGAGCATGAAATGGCTTGCCTGAGCTGGCCAGGAAAACCAGTGACTTGGCCAAATCTAGGTCATCGGTTAATATGCATGAAACGTAGGACGTAATCATCTTCTTTTTTGAAGTAACGTCTGTATTATATAAGATACATTGTTAAATTAACCAGAAGCAAGTAACCTTTACATCATCGACCCCAAAGGAAACAAACAGTATGTCATGAAGGAAAAAATAATTACTTTAATGAAAAAAAAAATATTGCTAGAAAAAAAATATTGTAAATAAAAAACTAATTGGTTTTTGAAACATTTTATATTCCATATGACAATTTACTTTTATTGTTTCAACTTCTGTGTTGATCAGTCTGTTCCTAATATCCTTTTAAATACGATTTCACTTTTCTTGTGTTTTGACACTTATTTCAATTTAACCACAACCATTTTTTTCAACACACTCATGTATTTCAATAAACATTAGGGTCTGGTTAAAAAACATAACCAAATATCTTTGTTACTAGAATAGAGCTGCAGCAAAACAAAGATGAAGTCAGCAAAGTGCTACAAGATCTCAAGGCAGAGCAGCAACACTTCATAACATCAGTGACAACAGCCATTCAAGAGGGAAAGAAACAACATGTGCAGCTGTCTAATGAGGTCACTTTTGATTTCTACAGAAATATCCAATAATAGTTTTTCCTCTTTCAACCAGCTGCTTAGTTGTAGGCTCTTTTTCAGTCAAACGTGTATAAGATTTGTCAGTTATCCCCATTGTCTTGCAATTCCTTTAAATTGATAAAAAATAAAGTCTAGGATGTGCGGTAGCTGAGCGGTAAAGCACTTGGCTTCTGAACCGGAGTCCTGGGTTCGAATTCTGGTGAAGACTGGGATTTTTAATTTCAGGATATTTGGGAACCTCTTAGTCCACCCAGCCATAATGGGTAGCTGACATTAGTTGGGGAAAAGTAAAAGGGGTTGGCCATCGTGCTGGCCACATTAAACAGATAACCTTTACATCATCTGCCCTATAGACCATAAGATCTGAAAGAGGAACTTCACTTTTTTAATAAATCTAGAATGAAGCAGCTAGGTGAAAAAAAAACTTAAGTAAAATTTTCAATAAGTAGGATCTTGGCAATAGTTTTTTGTGAAAAATTACATTAATTTTTTTTTTTGGCTTTAATTCTTTATTAAATATTTGCATGCAAATTATTTAATTTAGCTTGTAGCAAATATTTATTGCTGAAAATTTAAATATTTTGCCTACTTTTTAAAAATAATTTTTGCCTATAGCTAGAAATTATATTAGTGAGCCCTCAATCTTAATAGTGATTGTCTATTGAATTAATTAATTTGGATAATAACTATTATTGCTCAAATTTAGAAAGAGTTTATTGCCTGAATTTAGCAATAAAAAAAAACCCAACTACTTTATCATCATAAAATAAAATAATTTTAGAGTTTTGCTTTTTTCCAATCTCTCCAAAACATTTAATATATTTAGTATCTCAAACAGTGAAGAAATATACATACACGAGTATTGACTGAGAAAGATTTTAAGATTGTCATTTTGTGTGTATATTTTGCAGGGTGTTCAACTTCAGAAAGAGATAGTTCAAGATGAAGATGCTATACAGACATTGCATGGACAGTTTAATGAGAGACTAAGGGACACAACCTCTACAATAAATACTCTTCATGAAAAAATACATAAATATGAGGTACTGCTTTTGTTTAATAATTGTGCAAATTATTTAAATACATATTGTACTAAATTCTAAGACAAAATGTTAGAGTCATTAGTGGATGATCATATATTGGAAGACCATTAATGGAAGAGGAACAGCTAGGACAGAACCTTCAAATGTCTCTATGTAAGAAGGTTTTAATTGTTTTTATATTCCAACATGTTATATCTACCCAATCATTTTTTTTGGTCAAACTAAGACTGAAGTGCAAGAAATGGAAACAGACTTGGTCCAGAAGAAAGACAAAGTTTCAGAAATGACTCCAAAGTTTCATGAATTGGAAGAGTTCACTCAGAAAAGGAGTAATGAATATGACCAAGTCAAAAAAAGTATTGTTGGTGAGTTCATTCTTATCTTATACATTTTAAATGACAGACATTACTTCAAAAGAGGAGATAATTACATTTTACTGGTGTCTCTGTGTTAATCTAGTCATGCATGTTAATCAGTGACTTACACTCTGCCAAATTGTTGGTTTTTCCTCTCTGATTCAGGCAACACATTCCATGCTCTAATAGCACCAAGGAAGAAGAAGCATTTGTACAAATTTGTCCTAGCATATGTAAATCTTTGTATGTTTCTGAGTTTTTATTTTGTCTTTTTTTCACAAGGAAATTGTTTTAATGACATGTTTTGCATTCCTACTATCATCATGAGGGTCAAGGTGTTTAAGTGCTGCCTGCCACCTTCGAAAATGTCTATTTTGGGGAATCAGAATGGCAGGGCCCCCCAAAATCTCATTGACCATTAGTAAGACATTCTTCACCCCAAGTCCTGTCTGAAATTCCACAATGGCATCAACAATTACTACAATTTGGCCGTGCCACATATGTAGCGCAAATCCTCCAATCCTGAGCCAGCAATAAGTGGCCAAAGGCTGCAGAACTACTGTGAATTTCTTCATATTCTTATTAGGCCTGCATTCCACCATCCATTGCTGTCCTGGCACTAATTTATTAGAAAATTAATAGTCTATTTAACAAAATTGCATAAATATGAATGAGATTAGTAAAAACCTGAATGTAAACCAACTCTAACATCTAACCTTGTTACTAAACCTAAGCCCAACTCCATTACTAACCTTAAAACTGATCTAGTGATATGCTCTCTGGACTGTCTACTTGATGGTACTGAGTTCAAACCTTGCCCACTGCAATCCTGGAAGTTTGGATTAGGATGTAATAATCTTCAATTCTGAAATAACACTGGAAACATGCTAAACAAAAGAAATATTAATCTAACCCTTGCCTTAATTGATGGTTTTAATTCTTACCTAAACCTAAGCTCAATCTTTTAGCACAATCCTCTCAAAAATATCTAAAAAAAAATAATAAACACACTCTTCTAAGCAAATACTTTGTCAATTGTATTCTGAACAAGAATTTTTTTTTACCACACAATAATTAATTCATGATATTCTTCAGTGTTGAAAAATAAAAAGTTAGGTCTTGAAGATATGATCAAAAAAGCAACTAAAGCTAAAGAGGATCTGAAGCTACCACAGGTAAATAAAAATACATTTTTGTACTTACCTTATAACTTTTGTTAGTTGCCTTTACTTTGAAGTAAGTTTGGGAAAAGGGGGGGGGGGGGCTTATGCTATTTTTGTTCTTTTCAATTTAGTTTTGAAACTAATAAGTATAAGTGACCACTCTTATTCCATTTAAAGAATTAATTATGATTGCATTACATGGACATTGATATAATGTGGTGTGCTTTAGATCAAACCTAAATAGGACAAAATATTTATCTAGAAATGAAATAATGAACTATTTTTGCCTCTTGAATACATTTTTGTTGGCTGAACAATCAATGCTAGATTTTTAGGTGAACTTTAATATGTATATGTGTGCACTGAATTGTTAAGCTATTCACAGTTTTATAATTCATACAATTGTTATGACATGGATGGAATAAGATAGTACAATGCATGAGTCTCTCACAAAAATTAATGTTTAATTCAGGTTCAAAGAAGAGGCAAAACTTGATAATGAAATGGTGACCTAAACTTTATATTGAATAGGATATACATTCCAATAAATGTTTTATGCTCCAAGTGCAGAGATTCAAATTAAAAAATATTGTTTAGAAAGAGCTGCAATCATAGAGGTAGAGATTACAATTAATTGACTGACTTAGTACTCATTCCTTTGTCTTATTTTTTTAAAGCTTCATTACTTTCTTATAATGAGCGCAGTTGTCTGGGAACATAGCAAAATTTTAGAATAGATTTTTAGACAGAAATATATATGTCTATTGGATCATGTAATCTTTTTCTTTTAGAAATATTTGAACCAATCAAATTTGACTAAATTAATCTTGAATCTGTTTACATCAACATTTTTTTTTTTTATGCTTCTGATCCATGGGAAGCCATGTCTATTGGAGCATATAAGTTACCACATTTAAAAATATTTATATATAAAATTGATCAAATTTTATTATTATATATCATCATTTTTACAATAGATGCAGAAGACATGGCATTATATCACTTTTTCCTCCTTTTTACCCATTTTTCTATAAAATTGGAATCATGATTTTATTAAAAGGTGAATACATACTACTATCTTTTTGTTTCCACTTTAGGAAAGTTTACTCAAGAATATGAAAAACAATCACTCCCTTGCACTGATGCAGTTAAAGAAACAAGGAGAAGATACCAAAAACCTGGAACATCAAATATACCTTGTTGGCTGCCAGATAAAAATTGTCATGGAAGAAAACCAAAAATTAGAAAATGTTAGTACAGAGTATTTTAAATTTTTTAATTAAAATTAAAATAATAATGCCTTTACTGCTAAATAATAAGAATAGCTTAATTAATTTATTTATGTCTTAATTCAATGAGTGTTTCTAGATTTTATACATTTTTGTTGACACTATTGATTTATAGAATATTTCTTTTGCTTTAGGCTTGCACCAATTTAGAACAAGATTTAGCTGAATTAAAATGTAAAGTTGTAGAGAATTTGGAAAAGAAAGATGAAGCTGAAAAAGATTTGGTGAAATTAAAAAGTAAGATGAAATTACTTTTGTTGAATTTTAATAGTTGGACACCTACAAACATCTGTCTGTCCTGAGAGATTTGCATATTAACCTTTATCATATTGTTGTAACCATGCCTTGCACCAGTGCTTGTGGTGCTGTGGATCATGAATAAGTTATACTTAACAGTAAAACAAGAAAAGCAGCTTGTGTGTCTTCAGTGGAACTTAGAAACTTAGAGGCAAAAGTTTTTCAAAAAGCAGGGTGTTAGGACCACTACTTTGCTTTTACTATAAATGACTTTGGTCAGCTTAGTCTGTTATATTAAATGCCACTTCAACAGCACAAATGTATATGTATCTATGTAGACTTATTGGTATAAGCACTGCTGCTGGATATACAGATAGCCTTGCTAGGGGAAAGTGACACAGAAAAGGCTTAACTGTGTAGGGCAAGTATTATAGAATAGTCCTGACTCACACTAGGAGAGCATATGAAGTGGATTGGGAAGGTGTTAGTCACACCTATATTGATTCTGTTGGTATGTGTGATCTTTTCAACCATATGAGGTCCTTCAAGATGGAAAGGTTCAGCTCTGGGACATAAAGAAAAAAAACTGTTTTGTTCATTTATTAATAAAAAAAATTATTTAGATCACCAAAAATTGTATTTAAACTTTGTGTTGCAATACAGCTATTCAGCTGACATGGTTTAGTATTTAGTAGTTATTACTGTATTATTTTGTTTATACCATTAAATAATTCAGTCTCTTTTTCTAGGTGAACTCAATCAAAAGTGGCAAGAAGATGTTCTATTGCAACAGGTAAGAACAACTAACTCACAACTAGGTAAAGTAAAAGTAAAGTTCCCCTTTCAGACAATATGGTGTATAGGGCGGGCAGATGATGTTATGGTCATCTGTTTCTTCACACCTAGGTAAGAACAACCAACTCACAACTAGGTAAGAACAACTAACTCACAACTAGGTAAGAACGAGTTCAATATTTAAGAAAAAAGCTATTTAAAAAATCCAACTTAAATCAAGTGAAATTGCTTCAATTATTTTTAATCAATCATGTAATTAATTTTTTTAATTACTCAAAATTTATCCAAATACATATGCAGCACCATATAGGTTTGTTATAAAACAACAACTCACTTAAAACTAGACTGGATAAAAGCTTGTTAAAATGTTTACTTTATTTCATTCTATAAACCTTTTTTTTTTAAATTTCACCTTTGGAAAGTATTTTAGAGATTATCTCCCTTTATCTGTTTTAATAATTACACAAATAAATCTACATCTATTTTAAGAGAATTACTCTTCCCCCCCCCCCCCCCCCCCCCCCGACCATTACTGTAAGAGTAATCCTCATTATTTTACTTAATCTTTTAATAACAACATTATTGTAGTTGAATATGAATACAAAGTTCATAAAATCTCTTCATAACATGATTCACAGTGGCATACATTAGTGCAGCATGAGATTTGAGGCTCCCACTGATTTCATATCCCTCTGTCTAGTGATCTCCTGAATCATTGTCAAATATGTTGAGGAGGGTAAAGTATCCTTTGTTGAAATTTACATTTTTTTCCCCATTTTAGCTTTTTGCAACTCAGAGCCAGGCCACAGTGAATTCATTTAATCACATTTTACAAAGGAGTGAAAAGCGAGAACATCAGATTGATCAAATCACTCAACAGTTGCAAACAGAACTTGAGAGCCTGTCAGAATTTTTAGATACAATAGTCAGACCAAGGGTGAGTAACTCAAGGAAACAACTTGTATGCTTAGCCATTTCACAAATGTATAACTGATAACAAATATTCTTACACTATTTTTAAATGTTGAAGCCTCATTAAGAGACACTTCCCTGGAGTAAACAGACACTTTCTTGAAGTCAACTCACACATCAAGGTCAACTTTCTATTTTAGACTGGATTTTATAATCAGTTTTCTTCTGTATTTTATTTGTAGTCAGTAAACCTTGCTTTTATACTAATTTCACGGTACTTTATCAGTGTGTTGTATTAAAAGTGCGGGTCCTGTACCTTCAGTTGTCAACAGGGTCATACTGTAAAAAATGTGACTTGAACGCATTTGAAAGACATTTTTCAAATGCAAGTACACAGACATCCCAGGTTTGCTCTCATTTGGAAACCAATTATGACAGAAAAAATTTCAGATTAGCATATGATTTAATTATTACATTTCATGATCAAATTACTTTTTGTTTTGTTGGAATTTCTACCTTCATAGATTTAGTTTGGGGGGGGGGGGTGTAAACTCGGAGGATTTTTCTGAAGGGATAACATTGTCCAATGCTGACTTATGATTCAGTCCCTAATGAGCAACACTAGTTTACTCCTACTTCATCTTGTTGTTTTTTTATTCTGTTCCACACATTTCAAATTAGAAATCTAAGACTGTACACAATTTTAACATCTATTTCCAGCAAAAATCTAATTCAATATCAGGCAAGTAACTACAGCAATCACAGGAAAGAAATAGTTCTTTATTTCCAAGTGGAAGATCTGTGTAAAAACTTGACAAGTACTAACCTTAAAGCACTGCAATAAAGCTTTGAAAACGTATTGACAACAATTCGCTGCAGTTCATTAGTTTATTTTTAGTACAGTTTCTATGGTTTTCATTGGTTTATTTTTAATACAGCTTGTATATGGCAATACTCTTAAAGCAGCCGAATTTCAAATTATTTTTAAAGAAAGCAAGTAAAATGATTTGAAGTCAAGTCAAATCTCAACACATTTTATTATCAATTGTAATGGTTGAAATCATGAACTAATTGGAGCAATAGTTTTATGTAAATAAAAATAATTACACATGAACATTGTAATGTTACTAAGTATCAAAATAGGACAATCAAATGCAGACATTTTATCACAAGTTGTCTATCATTAGAAATTTTTGACCATCCTTATTATCATCCAAACCATACAACTATATTTTTTCAAGGACAAAACTTTAAAAAGCTTCAAAATTGATTTACTTCTTCAGTATATTAATTTATTCTATTAAGTTATTGATTAAAATTGATTTCATATTTTTACCTCCTCTTGGGTGTGTTTTAATTTTTTTGATTTGTAACAGTTACATCAGTAATCTCTAAAGTACATAATTACATATGGTTTCCCTCTTCAAATCAATATGGTGATGCGGTCAAAAACTAGTATATTAAATGTTCTTTCTAAAATATTAAACCACAACTGAGAAAAGTAATTTCTTGAGTTTTTGTGTACATTTACAATTGTGTGACTTTTTAAAACATAATATACTTGGTCATTGTAAGACTGAAAGAAAATTCTTGCACTCTAAATAGACAACTGAGTGTAATGACTATAAGAATTGAAATAATAAATAGTGTGCAAGCTCTCCATATTGTGAAACAATAAATAGACACTAAGAGTTGAATCAAAGATACAACTTGCAATGCTATTACACAGCCATTCAGGACAGTATTTACAGCCCTACTAACTGGGAAACATGTCTTGGAAAACATTGTATAACAGTATACAAAAACAATGACTTTTTGGAACAAAGAGTTGTGCTTCAAAGTTACAATTAGATGGCAATGACAAAGGCCTAAACAGCATCACTTCAACATTTCATTGTCTATGACGAACTCATTGGTGGTAATAAACAAAACCAAAAAAAAATATATGTTAAAAAATTACTTTTGAAAAAAAAAATGAAAGTAATTGTTAGACTAAAATTGCCTTAACTTGTATTATTTCAAAATGGTAAGATCCAACAATGTGTTCAAAATAGTTTTAGAGACAATCTGTGCAGCCTTGTACATTATATTGAATACAGTTTCAGAACTCAAAGGAAAAAAAAAAAAACTTTAATTTTTACAATCAAGACTAGTAAAGATTTTTTAAAAAAAAAAGATTTGCATAATGAGATATAAACAAGGTGCAAGTGATGTGATAAAAATAGCAAGCAGTAAACAAAATTAAGAACTGTTTGTTGTGTCCTTATTTTAGCTTTTTAAAAAAAAACAAAAACAGAAATAAGTTACAAAATATGATAATTAAAAAATTGACAACATGCTAAAATCTTATAACAATACAAATAAATATTTTGTTCATAAGAATATAAGCAGTCTAGCATCACATCCAATTCACTTTCAAACTTTCATAACAAAAGCCAATGGAGTATAAAAAAAAACACACACATGGGCATCAATTATTCTGACATGAAATGAAACCTTAATAATTTAAATTTAAAGATAATTCTTAAAAACTAATCAGCTACAAGTTGATATTAATTAAAATACAGAAGTATTCCTGGAATGTAAAGATGAACAAGCTATCCAGAGTCTAGAGACAAAATATACAAAACTCAAGATGGAGCTTGTAATTCTAGAAACCTCCATCAAAAAAATAATTTATCACATACAAAAGGATAGAACTGAATTTATCATTGGGTAAAGAAGAAGGTGGATCCAGAAGGATATATTATATTATATATATATATGAATCTCTTTTGTTTAGTGTAAAAGTGCAGAATGCTTACAAATTTGTTTAACAAATTTGTAAGAAGAAAAAAAAAGGGTGCGGGGGAGCATACAAAATGCTTTATGTTTAGAATTAATTTTTTTCACACAAGTATACCGTTTGAAGCCAACTAATATTCATAAACTGTAATTGTAATCAGTAATACTTAATTGTAGATTTTCCAATTATCCAACTAAAACCAATATCCACTGAGCGTAGTTTAGGCACAGACATGAATATGCACAAATACATAAAAATCAATTCTTGCAGCATCATCATCATCACTGGTTCTTCCTCCTCAACATTTGTTTATGTACTGACACACATAAAGGGAAAAAGTTGATTCAACTTTTTTTGTTTGTATTTCACTGCAAATTTAAGTGAATATTTTTTTTATGCAACTGAAAAACATAAAAAGGAAAATTAACTGAATGTCAATAGAACAAGAAAACAATTTGCTAATATCAATGGCAGTTACAAAACAAATAGGACAGCATACAAAAATGAGGATAAATACATTCGGTGAAAGACACAAACTTTTCTCCAGAATGAAGAGAGGATATCTATTTGTTTAACTATCAAAGTACTACAGAAGGAGGGATAATTTATATCAGTTTTTAAATTAAAGGGAAACTCCATGGCAGTGTGTATTTTCTCGCTTGACCACTCAACACACCCAAACACTATCGCTTGGTTGTCTGGTCATGACCAACTACACATAGCTTAAGCTAGCCTTACACTGACCAGTTGTTAGAATCAGTCAGACACACAATCTATTTACTTGTTCAGATGAAAACGTTTAGGATGTTGGTTATCCTAATGCTTTAGGATCTTTATATATATATATATATATATATATATATAACTGTACCAAAGCTATGGACTAGGCAGTCACTAAGCCCAACAGCTACTGTAAGAGTAAAGGGATATAATTGGTTAGATCTAGATTCACTTTAAGTATTGTTGATGGTAATGACTTATGACTCACCTAAAAACAAAATCTCTAAGATCACTGGGTTTTTTTTAAGATGTCAAGAATTTACTGTCTAATTTATTAAATATATTTAAATGAAAAATGGTAAAATGTTACAATGTTTACACAATATAAATATATCATTAACTCAAATTTGAAAAACCATCAGAGTTTCCCTTCAACAAAGTACAACTGGAGGAGGGATAATTTATATTTTATAACTATCAAAGTACTACTGAAAGGAGGATAATAATATATAAAACCATAATAAGACCAGCAGCAATGTAAGCAAGTGAGACCTGGACACTGACAAAGGCAACCAAAAATATACTAAATACTTGGGAACGAAAAATTCTAAGGGAAAATCTATGGTGCTATACAAGATGAAACAGGGTGGAGGACACGCACTAAACATGAGATATTTCAATTGTATTAAGACCCACCGGTAGTGACTGAAATAAAAAAGAACAGTTGGGCAGGCCACCTTGAAAGAATGTCAGATAATAGTGGAGTGAAAATTGTATACAGACAAAAGCCAAAAGGCAGGCGACCCAAAGGCAGACCCCGAATGCGATGGATTGATGATGTGGAGGCAGATCTGCAACAGCTTGGGGTTAGGGCGAAAGCCCCAGGAGAGATCTGAATGGAGGGATGTGTTGAAGCAGGACAGAGCCCTCCATGGGCTGTAGCCCCACTGGGATGGATGGATGATAGGATAATAAGAAACAGGAAAGAAGACAATAAAGATTTTAACTTGACAAGTTTTTTCACATTTAGGCCAACATACAAATGCAGTTAATGTTCAAGCTCCGTTTTATTTACAGTTATGTACATGCTGTGCCAACCATCACCTACCAGTAGTCTATGTCATCTAGTGTTCACAGTCTATTCCTCTTTTTCCTGCAGTGCTGTTATACAGTTTTTAAGCAGTTGTACCTGAGCCTGAAACAAAGTCATGATATATTACAATAAAAAGAAAACATTTGACTTTCATGAGATATGCAAACATATATGGGTGTTAATATCAAGCATTAAAGGCTACCAAATTTAAATTTGAATTCAAAATACAGACTAATGTTTTGGGCAATAAGAAATATAAGAAGTACAATGAAATAACAGGATTAATAGATTAAAACAAAGTTGTCATGTAGATTTGCATTTTAACAGACAACTATGTATAAAATATATATAAAAAAAGCAAGAATTCAAATGTATTAAATAATCTTTCAAAACTGGGAAATTAATTACTTAAAATAAGGTCATTAGCAGATATTGAACAAGTTTAGATTTAGTAAAAAGTTTTCAAAGACTTACTTTGCCATGTTTAATTTCTAGCTCCACTAATTCAAC